AGATCTGGAGAAAGCATAGTGACTTGGGCAGCTTGTCATACAATAAAGCATGGAAAAAGAATGTTAATCATCCCAGGAGAATTTAGCCCTAAGAAAAATAAATGTTTTGAGGTTTCTGAAGGCCCAGAGCAAAGTAATATACATTCAGTGAATCAAACATGATTATTATACAATCAACTATGATTGTATAATAATATGAACCTATAAGTTTATTCCTTGTGGAAGAATGATAAAGTGATAGTTTTCAACATAATCTGCCATCTGGCCCTAAAATATAAAATGCTCCTAGAAAAAAATTAGTTAAATAAGAAAACTCATTATTTATTCATGGAAATGTTAATATTTACAATGTTTTAAAATTTTAACATCCCAGAATTTTAAGAATAATTGTATACGCTAACACTGTAACGGATTACAAACAAAATTCACAGAAGAGGCTAATAGACATGGGAAATTATCTGCAATATTTTTAGTCATCAAGGAAATACAAATTCAACCAGAAATATGATTTTGTTTTTCATCTATCATGTACCAAGTATCTGTACGGTAGATAAGAGAACACACTGATGATGAAATGGTTGAATGTCTTCTCACATTTTCCTACTAAAAATGCAATGTATTCTACTTCATAAGGCAAAAATCTATTAAATTTGAGTTATTATTTATCTCACCACCGTAAAAAATGATCAAAAACGATTGTGTAACAAACAGACTAGAGGAGGATATTCTTAGGGAAGGGGAGGAACCCAAAGCTGTAACTCCTCAACACATCTAAAATACCATTTATCAAAATAAATTCTATGCATTTAATCACAATCAAAGAACCTCGGGGAAAGGAGGGAGGGAGGGGATGGTAGGGGGAAAACAATGGAGGGGGTAACAATGTTCAAGAGGAAGTGTACTCATTACCTCACTCATGTAACTGTAACCCTCTGTATAGTAGCTTTACAATAAAAAAAATATATGGAATAAATAAATAAATAAATAAATTCTATGAAATGTAAACGTGATGATTTTTGTTGGTGTTGGTGCTGTTGTTGTTTGGTTTTGTTCACTTGTTTGTTTGTCTTTTAGGGAGGACAAAATGGGGACACAGAAGGAAAGGAGGAAGGGTGAATTAACATACTCATAGCATTCAATGTACACTGTTTAAAACATGAACTATGTAACCTGTGGGCAGAGATGGGAGGAGGGAAACTGGAGCACAGGAAAGCAAGGGGTGAAATTGCCCAACAAAGACTGATCCTCAACATCTGACCTGTGGAATTATAACCTATCTGTACAACTCCTTAACAATAAAACTATAAAATTATATTTTAAAGGTTCATGTGAAACCATACTTGTGTTGATTTAACTGTAAAAAATTTCTAGTAGATAAGAATTATTACATGCTTAGATATTGTCTGAGGCCACATTCATTTCTCACAGCTGTAATAGAGTGTGTGCCAACGGGAAATATTGCTAAGCATACACAGTGTTCAAGAAAGACCCAACCAAAGGGAATTATATAGCAACCCAGGTCACCCATGCTATGATCAAGAAATCCTGTGCTAGACTGAGCTGATCTCACCATAGGGAGATATTTCAATACAAAGTGATTCAGTATTTTCATGTGTGTTTTCAGATATAGATTAAATACATATCTAAGTTCCATGGACTCCAGTACCATGACACATGTGTATTAGACACATCCCAGGTAAAGGACTCTACAACATCACTCACCAGAGCCTCTGAGGAATGTGAATAGTAAGAGGAATTTATAACTCATGAAAAAAATATATGTATGTGTGTGTGTATATATACTCCTACATATACACATATACACATATACATATATATATTTCTTTTTGTAAAAATATTGTACTGAGGGGTTACAGTTACATGAGTTGGGTAATGAGTACATTTCGTAGTGAGCATTGTTACCTCCTCCTTTGTTCTCCCCTACCATCACTTCCCTCCCCACTTCCCTAACTCCTCCCCCCTCACAATGTAAAGTTCATTTTCTTTTTTATGCACTTTTTATTGTTAAAAAAACTGTACAGAGGGGTTAAAGTTACATGAGCAAGGTAATGAGTACATTTCATAGCAAGCATTGTTACCTCCTCCTTTGTTTTCCCCTACCATCCCTTCCTTCCCACCACCACACCTACACTCCCACCCCCTCCCATTTTCAACATAGTGTCCTGTACATCTCATCATCACAATGGGTCAATTTGCATCCCCACTTAAGCATTCTGCTATATCCCTTCTCCTCCCCAAATTACAAAATTGTATATATATAAGATGCAGAACACTGAAGACTTAAAGAGAAACTTCTCTGAAGAGGAAATAAGAATAGTCAATAGACACATGAAGAAATGCTGCTCAACTTCTCTAGCCATAAAAGAAATGAAAATCAAGACAATGGTGAGATTCCATTTCACCCCAGTCAGAATGTCTATAATCCAGAAATCTAGTAACAACAGATGCTGGAGGGGATGTGGCCAAAAGGGAAGCTTACTGCATTGTTGGTGGGAGTGTAAACTTGTTCAACCACTCTGGAAAGCAGTATGGAGTTTCCTCAAAAGACTCCACATATATATATATATATATATATATATATACATATATATATATATATACTAAAGTTATTTCTTTAATAATTACTTTAGCATTTAAGTGTATATGCTTACAGGCTCACTGATTTTAAGTTTGATCCACTGATGAATTTGCTGTGAATGGGCCCAAGGTCTAATTAATGACTTACAATAACACCTTCTGACTATATAAAACATTTATATAACAAGACACACAAAGGTGACCAAAGTAGAACTACTCAACAATCGCTCTTGTACTTCATGGATGATAATTTCAAACTTTAATCTTCAAATATAAACATTTGCTTTTACCTGATAACTTGTCATTTTTATACCAAAAACAAAAACCAACAAACATTATTCCTGAGTTTCCAGGATGCCAAATCAACTTCCAATCCAATGAATAATTTAGTACAATATTTAATTAGTAATTTCTTAATGCCAACGTTAGTTTTACTCAACGTAATAAACTGTGATTCAAGGTGTTGCTTCTAATTGTCCTGACAGAAACATGTGGAATGATAGTTAAGGCAGACAATCTCTCATCTATTTACAAGACAGTAAACAAGAGGTATCATATCAATTATTCTGCAAGCATGGGCAACAACGCTTGCCTAAATACACACAAAGCAATGAAATCTCACAGTTTCTGCCTAAGATTTGATCAAAGAGGCAGGAGCAGTATAGAGAATACAACATGCCAAAACTCTCACAGGGGCACCTAAGCTCATAGCAAGGTGCAGAAACACACACATATGTGCTCACACATGAAGCAGCCACAGAGCAGGAATTCGGGAGATTTCCTACAATCAGGAGACTCCCTGTGCTGTGTGTGGCTTGCCAAGAATTCGGGCTCCGCACACCATGCTGCAATGATGATGCTATTCATTAGCTAGCAGGTGGCTAAGCTAATTGATTTGGGAGGCAGTGTGGTCTAATCAGAGTAGAAGATCAAGCTCTGGAGTTGGACAGCTCATCATCCATAATCAGCCTAACTATCGGTAACTCACTGGATGTCTTTGAACCACCTTTTCAACCAACAGCAGGCATCACTTTAAAAATCATTTCTTTGTAAAGTTGCCATCAATGTAAGCTTCTTCAAGACATTTTTCATTTCCTTTCTCCTTAATCGTTGCTAGTATATTAAAAGGATGAACGGAATCCAAATATGTTCTCTCCCTGTTTTTCTCTCTTTCTTTCCCAACCCTTCCATCCCCGCCCACTATCCATAATTATGTCACAGAGTCACTATTCAGGAAGAAAGCAAATCTATCTTTAATTGTCTAAGATAGTCCAGTAAGAAAGGTTCACTCATCATTGTCCTCCAATCCAGAAAAAAACTGAGATTGAGTGAAGAACTCCTCTGGCAGACAGCTCTAGGGGATCTCCTTACAGGGAAAAAGAACATTCTGGGATTATATGACTCAAATACAAGTCTTGGGTGATCCTATTAGGCACTGTCCACATTTCAGGGTCAGGACAATTAAGTAGCTGCCATTCAGGTCAATTTTGATTTTTTTTCAAGAACCATTCTCCAGAGATAAAGTCCTGCCTTTCAAAAACCCACTCAGATTCCTGAGTAAACACAACATGATACAGAGGCCTGTGCGCTCAGTGGGGAAAATCATGACCAGCCTTTGATCTCAGGGGCGCCTTCATTTAGGACAAAATACTTGGAAGATGATAAAAGAGATGAAAGAAGAAAATACCTCAGAAAATCATAGTCCGGCCAGTGAAGTTTTTCCTAAGATTTATATTTAGTTTGTATGTTTTGCTGAAAAAAAAATACTGCATACAAAATCCTGAACTGTGTTATACATATCCATGGTATTTAGAGATTGTGGCACCATCTCTGTCTCTGTCTCCTCTTCTCTCTCCATCTCTCTTTCTCATTTACCACATCTCTCTTCCTTGACCTCGTCACTCCCTCCTCGTTTGGGGATTTCAGATTTCACATTAAATTGCTAAACCATCAAGTAAGCTCCATTCTATTTGGGAGATATGTCTGTCCTGATCACCTAACTTTAAAGTCTGATCTACCTGGTCTTAGGAAACCTTTATTTTCTCTGTCACGGTTCATTACAGAATATGTTCACTGCCTTTTCCTTTTTCTTACCATCCTATGGTGCTCAAATCCCACAATAATAAAGTTTCAATTAATATATATATATAAACGGTGTGTATATATGCATACATATACATTTATATACATACATGCACATACATAGAAAAATGTAGGTGTGCGTGTAACCACTGTTTATGCTTGCAGATATCTATCATGAGTTTCTTATACTCTCTTAATTTTAGTACCTCCGGTGTTTCTAGAATGAACATAGTGAACAAGAGGAAGTAATTGGAAATTTATATAAAGTTCATATATATATATATACATATATATATATATCATTCACAAAGTAAATATAGGTCCTTTTCTGGTACATCAGCATGATGCCTGGATTCTCACGAATTTGTATGATATGTGCCTCCCTCAAATCTTGTTATGGCTTGGGCATATTACTCATCTCATGTGAAAATAAATAATAAATAAATAATTCTTTGTTCATAAAAATGAATGAATTGCTAATACCAAATATAACCTGTCTTGAAATTATTAAATGAAAGAAGCCAGGAACAAAAAGCCATCTATGTTTTAATGAGATAAACATGATTCTTCTGATGAAGTTTTAAAGGCAAACAACTACACGCACTCCTTTGGAATGCTCAAATTACACATTAGGTGGCAGTTTGTTCATCCTGGGTAGGTTCTTATTTGCAAGAAGTGTACCTTGTCCATTATTGAAACTGTTCTGCTAGCACTCTACTAGACGTTTTCAAGTTACTGATTGAGTTTTGCATTAACCTTAGGGAAGTAAAGCCATGAACTTTAAAGGTCATATCAATTCAAATGATGACTTCAGGATTGCATATGTGAAATGCCTCCTTTTCTCCCTTCCCAATACCCTACCCTCAATCAACTGAAACTACAGTCATGGATAAATCAATTCCATTCTTCTTTCCGGTTTTCCCTATTGTTTATTGCTTTAGTCTTGTTAAACAAAATACATATAATGTTAAGTAATTGTGCAATATGACATATCAGAAAAAAGTAGCCAGCTTATTTCTAACACACTTGGTTAATAAGTGTTCCTTTTTGCTGTAGAGGCTGACAGACACCTGGGTTACCAGGCAACCACCCCCATTTCTTATAAACAACAAGCACAGTGAGGCATATCACACACTGAAGAGGTATCAATACAGTGCCTCTCCACCAGGACGAATAAAGATTTACAAGTGACAGTGAGAAAAGCTTGCCAAAACAGGTGGATGAGGGGGCCGGGGCCCAGGAAAATCAACACAGCATCTGGCAGGCAACCGTAAGAAATGATTAAGAATCTGCCCTCACTCTATCTGAAAAACCATAAACCATATTGGGTCCACACAGCGCAGAGCTCAACTCTTCACATCATGGCAGTCTGTGAGTACTGCTAGCTGTGAGCGGCATCCCCACTGAGCAGCTGTGAATTCTCTCCCCGTCAGCATGAATATGTGATTGGCATTGCTGAGTAGCAAGGCCTCCTGTGAAGCCACCCTGCACTCTACTCTGATGATTAAATGAAACGGGGTGTACGTTTGGAAACATGACCCATTTGTTTAGCAGAGATGCTCCAGGCACTTGTTAACTGCATAGGAGAGGAATTGTCCTCCTCCCCTGATACACAGGGTGCGCTCCCCTCAGAAATAGTCCCTTATTTTCTGTGTAAGGCGGTGTGGAGAGCCTGTAAGGCTGCAATTGTACCCAGAGGGCTGGCAATGCTCAGGAAGCAAATCACTGGAATCCATGAAGATTCTCAAGAAAGCATCAGGTAATGTATTTAGGTGGAGTCAGTTTCCCACCACTTAGTTTTCAAAGATAAGAATTCAGTATGAAAGGGCATGATGGGGGATGCCTCTATTCTCTCAGGTACTCAGGAGATGGAGCCTCAATAGATGCTCTTCTGATCTTTGAGAAACGTGGAATATTAATAAGGGTAAGAAGCTAGGGATATTTCTGTGGCTTTCCTGAGCTGTGCTCTAGACAAGTTCCGCATGAGTAGTCAATTCTTTAATCAAACACATCTCCCAAGAGCCTGAATAACCACTGGGCTGTTACATTTTCTGTGTTGACCCATCTCATCAATTCTTCTAATGACCCCCTTTTACATGGCTCTATCTTTTGTTTTACATATTCATTGTGGTAGAGAACACAACTACATAACAGCCCTAAATGAATTTGTCTTAAGATATACATGTTTTGAAAAGAACTTATCCTAAGGAAATAAAAAACTCTGTACTTATATCAAAAGATATTATTTATAATCTTAAAAATGGACTGAGAACCAGGTACATGTGACTCATAATACTAGTAACTCAGGAGGCTGAGATCTGAGAATCACTGTTCAAAGCCAGCCTAGGCAGGCTTATCTATGAGAATATCTCCATTTAAACAACCCCTAACCATTCCCCACCAAAAAAAAAGCCAGAAGTGGAGCTGTAGCTTTTTAAAGTGGTAGAACACTAGGCCTGAACAGCAATAACAACAAAAAACTCAAGCACTGAGTTTAAACCCCAGGACAGGCACCAAACATTAAAAATAAGCAAATATAAATAACCACATACAGCAGAGATAGGACTGAGTAAGACAGAGACATCAGTGGCTCTCTACTGTAATCACAGCTAGTTAGGAGGCTGAGATTGAGAGGATTATATTCAAAGCTTGCCAGGTGGGAAATTTTTCCATGTCCCAGAGCAAAACTAGGTATAGTGCTATGTGCCCATCATCCCAGCAATGACCAGCAGTATATATTACACAGATAGGCAGGTGCAGCTCTGGCATGCACACAAATGGAAAGGGAGCTCCTACTCCAAAAAAAAAATATCTAGCGAAAAATCAGGCTGGGGGCATGGCTCAGGGGATAGCATGCCAACCTAGCAATGCATAAGGTTGTGTGTTCAAAAACCATATAATCACACAAAAACCCATAACTGAGAAAAGAATGTGTTACAGATGGAAATAACTCATTATGGTATGATGTAGCTATACAATGAAATATTAAGTATTCACTAACAGTCACCTTCTCAGGCAATATTAATAATACTTGCAGAAAGAATTTTGTCTGCATACGAAGGCAAAAATAGCAAAATAGATGTCAAAACACGTGCACAAAAATAGTGTGATAATCTCTGGTTGGTTGTCAATGGTTCTCCTAAAAATCACCTTATTTTTGTTTTTTTATAACATGCATTATTTTAAAAAAAAACTATAAACCCTGAAGTGCAATGCACAAAAATAAAAATGAGAGCACCTTCTTTGGAATATGGTGATAACAGCTGATGTGTCCCTGTACTTCTCCTGAAGACAAACTCTAAAATTCATTTTCTTGGGCAATGCAACATTTGACACTGTAGAAATTGCAGGGCTGAAAACTTGCAAGTCGGGACAACAAGTAATTTGTCTCAACTTTACCTTTCTCTGTACAAATGATGACCAGAACCTTTGCAGGGCTTCTTATTCTTTGATCCAGATGTTCTACCCAAGGTTGATGCCATATATAGGTCAGCTATACACTCAACAGTCTATTTTGTAGATTGCATGTTTTATTTATGGTTATCATTTTAGATGCTATTGCTCCCATCCTTCAGTCGAGTCCCTGCCAGAATGTTATTTTAAAAATAACAAAATAGTGTGAACCACAGCGATTGTCGTTAGGATACTTTTCCTTCACATAACTGACACTGTTGACAGGAAGTGAGAATGTTGACTTGGCCTGAGGTTTCATATAAATAAAATCTACATGACTCAGGGTTTCTTTTTTTTTTAATTACTGAACTTTGCCTGCAGTAGAATTCTTTGTTACCTCAGCCTCTGTAGGAAGACGCTGACACAGGTGCCAGCCTGTGCCAAATATTCAATTAACTATGTATCAAGGTGACCCTCCTGTCCCAGTGGGTACCAAGGATGAAAATTAAAAAGAATTCCATTATTTCTCCAGATGAATGTATTAGATAACCTTGCCAGCCATCAAGGCATATCTGACTTTATAATAATTAATCTGTGATTTTTTTTTGTTTGCAAGACCCAACCCCTCATCCGGGTCTACGGATGCAAGCTACAAAATGTAACAATGCTAATATTCTGATGCTTTGGAGTTCACTGAAGTAACTGTATGTGCCTTGGTTCTTAATTCTTAGTGCTTAAGATAAGTGATGTTTTTGTCTCGATTTTATGGATAATAAAAATTGAGATTTAATATATTGAAAGGCTCACCCGAGGTTACTAGAGAATGGATGGAATTGGTATTCAAACTGTAATCTGTTAGCTATTTTGGAGATGGAGTTTGCTTGCTGCTACAGGGTAATGATCGTTAATTTCTGTGGTTCGCCTCACTTTACAGTTGCTAATTAATGAAAATCAACAAATGACACGTTTGTCTGCAATAGCTTATAATTGAAACCCTGACCCTGTTAATTACATACTTCTCCTGGTCTACATTTTGTCCTTTATAGAAACCAGCATTTGACATATTTCTTTCCTGTATCACAGGTATTTATCTTGGATTGTGTTTCTGGAAAAGAAAGTCTCAAAACTACCTTCACTCATTGTACCTCATCTTTTGCTGAAAACTCAATGGCATTCCCACCTCTCCTTCCTGGTTCTTCAGAAAGGACAGCCATGTTGAGAAAATAATTTCTCGTCAGTCAAGTCTGCCTTCTCTGAGCTGTTCTATCAATTACCTAGCTTCAACTGTGTCTCTGTCTCTCTGTCTGTTTGCCTGTTATCTAGCTCTGTCTTGACTCTCTCTCTTTCTCTCTCTCCTCAATGAAAATATAGGCTTCTTTTACATTTAAATTATTTACTTCACTCTTAATCGGAGAGTAGCTGTAAGTGTTCAACAGAGGCTTTTATTGCTTTGTCACCATTCCTACTTCAACCCAGGTATGGCTTTCAACCTCTGGTTCATACAAAGCCATTGATTCAGTGCTATGACCTTCATATGGATATATTCAAATGGATATATTTTCCCTTTTTTGATGACAAAATCAATAACATATACTAATTGTAGAATATGAAATATGTTTGCATAAAATGTTTACATGATGCTCTCAGTAATTGCTTATCTTTCATTCCCTACTTTAATTAGATTTGTTAACATTGTTCAGTGAAAATTCAGGTTTTAAATTATTCTTCATCAGCCAGGCCGCCGGTGGCTCACGCCTGTAATCCTAGCTACTCAGGAGGCTGAGATCTGAGGATCGAGGCTCAAAGCCAGCCCGGGCAGGAAAGTCTGTGAGACTCTTATCTCCAATAAACCACTAGAAAACCAGAAGTGGTGCTGTGGCTCAAGCAGTAGAGCACTTGCTGAAGAGCACAGAGACAGCACCCAAGCCCAGAGTTCAAGCTCTATGACTGACCAAAAAAAGTATTTATTCTACGTTTATAACTCCCTTTTCTTAGAGAGCAGGGCTTCCATACTTTTCCTTCAGATTCAAA